CCCTCGCTAGGCTGACTACGAAATCTAATTGCTGTTCACCACTTTCGCATTGGAGCGAAGTTGGTGAAAAGTCGATAAGTCGCAATGTGTTGTCTGCTATTGCAGACAACACATTGCGTTGCCTTCGTGCACTCGCCCGAACACTCCCTAACCGCCGTTCTTTCAATGTGAAACTCGTCCAACCCCCCTTTCCAGCTCTTTTTTTGACCCTTTGTAATTCTTTCTGTTCATCGTTTTTCGCGCTTTTTTCGTTGTTATCGTTTTATTCTAGAGTGGTTCTATCAATTCCCGTCAAAAAAGGGTACCCTAAATTTATTGCTAACGGTGCCTTTAAAAGATATATTTAGATTGACGCCGTCCTGTTCGCCGTACTTGCCCAGATTGTCTATGCTCCCTATGAAAACGAACATCTTGAAGTAGTCAAAAAAGAATGCCCAAATATCATGGAGTACGTGGAACGCATTAAGAATAGGTATTTCATCGGATTGCTTATCTCGACATCTATTCTCTCAGCCTTTACCCTATTCACTTCCATTAATGACAATGATTTTCATTGTTTAAAGGTATTGGCCTGACTGGGGCGATGCTACGACAAAATTTTCGATGGACAGCAATTGGAGGAAACGACCGAAGGGCTATAATTCGATTACGAACTCACACAATGATATAACGACTCCGAAGAAAAATGGAACAGCAGATTAAGGCTTCTATCGACCATAAATCTCATAGAGTTGCATGCTCATACTGTATACTTTTATATCCAAGTCACAAAACGGAACTAAAACTACCAAAATCGATGGAGGTAGACGTGAACGTGCACTACAATTTTACTTTTTACTCGTCACCGACCGCTCTTAACCACAGGTGTTATTGGGTTCGCTGCAGCTCTGCACCGACCCACTCACCACCGTAGACAAGTGACGGGATTAGTTTTCCTTCGGTGTATTCCTATATCAGTGATTCTCTATAGTTACGTTATTTCAAAAAAAATTATTTCTCTATTTGTTGTAATCTCAATTAATAATTGAACACTGCTTGCTCTGCACACTGTCTCTTCTATTGATTTATAGCATTTACCACTTTTTTTTTAGCATTTAATATCTGTAGTTTGTGTTTATACTGTGATTCACCTCGCGTACTACGAGATCTTCTCTATGAGATCTGTATTTCTTTTGTTTATAACGTCTTTTGGTACGTACCGTCCGTGTATGGTTAGTCGATAGGGTTTACTTCCAGTCTTTTTGTTTGCTTTGTCTTTATTAATCAGTTCTCGTCATTAACACCGAGAAAAGAAAATAAAATAAAAATAATAACAAAATCTTCAACAAGCAAATATCAACATGAGAGAAAAGATTCGAATAAGTCAGCACGTCTCAGAAGTCGGCAATCCCTACATCATTAGTTTAATCCTGATATAAATCGACAATGCTAGACGAAAATTCGTAAAAAAGGGTCAGTTACGAATCCGAGTGAATACCATCTGAAATCAAGTCTTCCCCGGTTGATACTATAGGAGTTTCGACATTCCATATAACTCAAGCTCCATCTAGAAGCCTTACCACTCATCGATACAAATACTGGCCTACAGATATTGAAAACTGCCAAAACAGATGGTAACGATAGAGTGGCCAGCAGGAAAGGTAGAAGTCCAGCAAAAAGTCGTTGAATAATTGTTCTGAGAGTCCTGTCGAACAAGGTAATTCTGGGCCACAAAATGGAGTGCACAGTCGAAAAAGAGCTGTTAACTTTGCAGTCCGATTTTTAGATGAAACTTTCCTTCAAGCATGAGAGCATGCCTCAAACTTATGGCACCCTAATATGAAACTTTTTCAACATATTAGTATACCGAACTGTAGAACACAATGAGTTGAGCCCAAAGAACGTCTACTCAATCCCAAGCAACTCACAGGGGAAGAACGAAATGCGCGATGTGTGCTGATAGGGGAGTCCTTATGGCGAAAGCGTGCTAAAGGCACAATTCACAATAATTTTGAGGTCACCCCTTTCAGTCGAAAAGCGGAAGTACAGCATGGAAACAGTTTGTCGGTAGTGAAGAAAGCGAGAAAATTTCTCATTTTGGAGCATTACAAGGCTCCTCAAAAGTAGGGAAAATAGAAACTGGACGAGATTACCATGACGGAAATAATATAGGAGGGGTTTTCGGACGAAATTTCAGTTGCTGCAGTTGCACAAAGAGCTGACTACATCAAGCCAGAACTGTACCGAACTGCCATTCGCTGTCGCTAATGGTCATGACAAGTTGTTTTCGCTTTTGATGATGCGGTAATTTGCCGATGAAATTCGTAAGAGGATATACACGGGAGAATCCCTAAGTCTTTATAACCCCTATCTCCGCCGTTTTTTTTTTTTT